ATACGTTATAATTTAGATGGGGCTTTTTTTCTTCTGTAAGCTAAGATTTTATTAAATCAATTTCTTTGTAATGTTGAAGTTCTACAGGTCATTTTAAAAGAATCTCTTTACACTTTCAACTGCATGCCTGATAACATGCACTTGGTGCCCAACTCAATAACTAACATGCTCTCATGATTAGGCCTACGCACAATATTGATACCAAATTTTGGTTCGCTGATCATACAAATCACAAAACACACACACACACACACACTCTTAATTATCGTACCAATTAAGTTGGGTTGCTAAAGCAGATCTTATTCCATTGATGCCGTTACTTTACGAACTTAATAGTAAACTCACCTGGGTCACTGAACGTCACTAGTACAAATTTCGATGGCTCATTAATGGTTCCGTTCCTTTTGTCAATAATTTTTCTTGTTCTATTTTTTACTGCTGTGATGTCGTCGCTCATGCTGTTAGTAGTGTCAATCACAATGCACATTGTACCACCTACATGCAATCCAAGGTACTTTTTAAATCGTTTGTTTCCGACAACCTTTTGAATATCTCTTAGAATATTTTCGGATGCATCCGTTGCTAATGCTGTAGCCTCATCATGGTGATAGTAATGCGGTGAGATGAGTGGGTTATTTGAGTCTTTGTTGATTCCTCCGCGTGCGTATAATCTGCCACTTGAGTCCATCGGCCCACCATGACTACATTTTCCTTTTAAAATAAGAGGATACAGTAATTTGTTGAATAATACTGAACAATGTATTAAATGTTTTTCTTATAGATCAATACAATGCTATTGTGAATTATTATTCTAAATTGTGGCCTTTACATCATCATCAGGTGTCACTCAAAAACGCATGCCCAGTTTACTGTCACTGTATTCTCTTTCCTTTGAAACTTTAATGCCTCTCCTAGTGTAGATGGTTTCTTTTCCAGCGTATGTTACTCGAAAACTAGATTGCACCCTCATCCACGGTCACAGACACCTACTGCTACTATCAGCCACACACACACACATACCCCCACACACACCCACACAAACACACACACACACACACCAAACAAACATCAGATGAGGAAAGAAGATGGAAATTAAAACATTCTCGTAACTTACCTACGCCTTCTGGTTTTACTACAGGTTTTCCTTTTCTGTCTTTTTGACTACTACAGTATCCACTTGTCAACTTCCTATTTGTTAATATAGTTGCTAAAATGTTATTTTTGCACTTCCCAAATAAACCACAGTCATCGCAAGTTTCTGTGTTTGGCTCAGCAAGATTGGTAATATGAGCGCCTGGAACTGCTAGGCTGTGATGTGGCTCGTGATTACCCATTTCGATCCAATTGGAGTGACTGTAGAAATCTTGTAAAGTGTGAAATAGTTGACCTGTTTTCTCCCTTCCAACTTTGTAATACCCAGCAGTAATTGCAGAAATAATCTCTTGTCGCAGACGGAGTAATCTTCTATTACTGTCCTCAAACGTTTCTGCATCAAAATGAGCAGAAGGCAATTTCTTTGAGCTTTTGTCAAAATCCACATTTGCGTTGGCATCGGTAAAATCTTTTATGGCCTCATGAAACCTAATTGTTGAGACACCGTTGCCGTAGTAGGATTTGAGCAGCTTGGTTGGCGATTTATAGGGTGCATTCTTAGCTAGTTGCTTAACTGGTTGAATTGGTCGTGGATTACTTTCCAGAAACTCATAAGCGACATTTAAAATAGCAATTTCAGATATCTTAGCGTGTGTTTTTGAAGTTGGAGAACTCAATCCAAGCCAAGAATTTGGAATGAAACCGTTAACTGTAAATATTGGTGTCGCTACTATTACTAGCAAAAAAGGCAACCCCATGTTCGTTTGAAAGCCAAAACATCGAACATGCACGGGTTTTACTGTGTTTCGCGCTTTATATAGACATTGGTTGCTTCAAAGTTTTAATTGGTATTACTCGCTCTCCCGCCTGACAAAATAATTAAATAAGAAAATTATGAAAGACATGACTAATATGATGCAGATGATAGATAGGCTTGAGTTAATGCCAGATTTCCTAAATGAAAGAAAGAGCTTACTTCATACTGATACGATAGTCATTCCGTACCGTATACAACATTATTAAAACAATGCGGGTCCCCTGCACCTGATTTAATTAAGTTATAATTTGATATCAAAGTTTCCTCTTAAATTGTAACCCCCTTGAGTTAATTTCTTCTTAGGAATGCTTTTATTGACTTTGGCTATAGCAATATAGAAAAAAGTTCAAGTTCAAGTTCCGTAGTAAATACCTGTACAATAACTGCTCGAAACATTTTATAGATTTTTTTTTCCAATTTATTGTCAAAATTTAAATGAAAAAAGGTACAGATTTGAATTTGCTTTTATTTTACAAATATCTAACATTAATTAATTTAATAGAAGGACTAGATTTTAACAATATAGCCATAAAAAATATAATAATTCCATATTTTCATTATGGAATAGATTGTATAGGCATATCACTTTTACAACCATTGATGAACAGGGTACAAGATTTGCATTATTCATGAAATTGAAATGTTTTAATTGTAAACATACATACACAACATCATTTAAATAGCGGTATCTCATAAAGATCAGAACACTTAAAGCGTGGAGAAAATAGATAGTCCCACAAAAATAAAGTTAATGAATAAAAAGTTTAGCCTGTTAGTCTGTTATGGATAGTGCAGGGGCTTATGTATTTTTTTTTATTTCATTTTCGTAGTATTCTTTGTACAAATTTAGCTGGATTTCTCAGTTCTAATACCGATACTTTGCAGATTCTTGTTTATCACTGGACTGATACACTGATAACAAAAACATTTTTATTAATGTTTATTAGTTTTTTCATGAAATAATGGAAAATCATCATATTTGTTGTGTAGAACCTTTATTATATTGAGATTGAGAGTTTCCTGTCATGTTTTTTTTTAAAGTGCACATCAACCCCCAACAGCCGCAATTCCATAATATAGATGCAATAATTACATATTCTTACTACAGGATGAAACTATTACCCTTCAGACACCATGCCAGTATTTCTGAGACTACTATAGCTTCCGGGGCCAAAAAACAAAATCATTTAGCGCAAAATATAAGGAACATGAAATTAGATTGCTTGATTGGGAGCAATTTTCATTAAAAAAAAAGTGTTAATCAATAGTCTGTTATCTACAATCCAAGTTTTAATAGGTGTAACTATCCCAGACGGAGACTATCCCGGTACTTCTGAATTCAGGGTTAAACAAAATCATTTTACAGGAAAACATAAGGTGACATGAAATGTTTTTGATACCGAGTTTTATGGGTAAGGCCTTTTTTTTGTATTTTGTCACTGTAGCGTTATTTCTTATTATTTCAATGGGACCATTTCAGAAACAAGCAGAAATGCTTTAAGTGTTATCCTGAATTTCTCTAATTGTTTTTTTAACACTTTGTTTACCTGTGAGAATTTTGAAAAAAAAGTCACATTAAATAATAATAGTATCAGATTGTAGATAATGGATTCACATCATAATAGGCACTAATAAAAAATTTAAAGTGGTTAAATAATTTCATGTCCAACATCTTCCTTCTGAGTCGAGGCTGAGATGACAGGAAAGGAAAAAAAAATAAGTGAGCTGAAACATGACTGCCTAATTTTTAGAGCTATAGTAGGCGTAATATTTTATGAAAACCCTAGTGTCCAACACATCCCAGTTTCCTCTACGCTAGGTGGTTTTAAGCAACATGAAAGTATTACCAATTGTAAGTTACTCTGACAAAAATAATATTGACACTGCAGGGGTCCCAAATCTCAACAATAAAAATAGAGGGCAGCAGACAATGACGTGTTTAATGGCGAATATATATACATTTTACCATATTAATGTAATGGGAAAAAATATTCAGTGCATGATTTCCTTTCCAATGATACCACATAAAACTATGTTTGACTAGATGCGTCCGCCATCATATTTTCCAAGATGGCGGCCAGTTAACCTTCTCTAAAAAAAAATGGCACCAACGTTTTTCTTGTTCAGTATAAAATTCTGAGTTGGAAAAACATTGTTGCCATAAATTAACATGAATTGCGAACTGGAGCCTATTTTACTACATAAGCCCCTACTAGGAACAATATAAAAGAAATAACAGCAGCAGCAGCAGTAGGCTTCATCAGGAGAAGTAAACTGTGTGGACGAAAGCTAGAAATATATTTTATACAAGTTAGTCTTAAAAGTGCTGCTGTCATTTTTTTTTATATTGTAAAAATAAAGTTAAAATTAATTGGTCGTAGAATTCTAAATTAACACATAGGCCTATAGATAAGATTATTATCTTTGATACAAAAATAAACAAGAAAACAATAATAACAATATATTTTGACTTTACAATGAAAAATTTCAAAAGTTTGCAGGTTCGAATCCCACAAGAGACACTTTTTCATACAACCTAAATAAAGGAACTTTACGTTGATGAGCTATACCAAGGCAATTCAACAGAAGGACGCACATCTCGGGACATCAAAGGTTATAACTCTGGCATCGACATTCTAGGCGCACGTACGTCCCTACACGCTGAACGTCACAAAAACCATAGCAACCAGAACATAAACCGTCAGCGTACGTGCTAGTTGCCATGATAATCGCGCGTCGCGCAATGATTGCAAAGGACTAATGATATTTTGCACTAACATTAGACTAATATATATTCTTCATTTCAACATCAATTTTACCAAAATTGTGGTGAATTCTCGTTCATGAGACTCACTTCACAGAAATATTAATAAATGTTCTGTATATACTCAAATGTTCGTTTTCGGCACCTTATGCCACCATTGTCAAAATGACAGATTAATGTTACATAAGAACATGAAATTATATAAAATTCGTAAATTTTAAATTGCTATAAATTTTCATTTTCGTGGTCAATTTTCACAAATCAAATTGCAGTTTATAGAAGCATTTAGCAAGCTCGCGGTCAAACAAAATCAGGTGTAACAGATATTGCGAAGTACCCAAAATTACTAAAATAAAAACTAACACCATAAAACGAATGGCACGCATAGACTAATAATTGACGTCTGTACTCGCAACTAGTATCGGATTGTCGATGCCACAGTAAAGATCAAAGGACTGTACACACGCGCTATGTTCGGGAGCGGGGATGTGCGTCCTTCTGTTGAATTACCTTGGCTATACTTGATACGACATTACATTACACTGTAATGCTATGCTAAGTACAAATAAATCAAGTCAGAGGATATCAAATTACAAATTGTGAAGTTTGAATTACATCATCAAAAAGTAGAACAACATTTTTTTTTACAATTGTTGTTAAGTCGTTCTCTAAATAATCAAATACTACAAAAAAAAAGCTATAAATAAATAACTAATGTTAACATTGAAAACTTTCCCTGTGTTATTACTATACACGTTAAAGTAAAATCAAATTAAGAATAGACCTTTCCGGAGTGTCATTTACACTTAACAACGGAACAAACAGAACAGGGCCAAGATTGGCGCTTGTCCCACACGTTTACGCATACGTTACGGTATAGTTTTGAAGGAATTTAGCAATAATACACAATGTTGGGGTGGGGGGGGGCTTATGGAACGGTCCATTCTATTTTAAATATTGTATTGAAATAAATCAAGTACATTACGCGAGATGTCTATACATTATTTTGCATAACGCATTTAGTTTATTTCAGTACAACACAATATTTAGATTAATCTTAGATATTGTATTGCAATAAAATAAATGCATTGTACAAAACATATATACTTTATTTACAACTTAGTTATTTATTTTATAAAAATAACTTTGTTTCTTATTCTTTTTCTACATATGATACAGATGACGATGAGGATTAATAGACCGACAATCCCTAAGCCGATGCAGGCAATTAAAATGAAAATGCTTAGGCTTTTATCTTCATTAACTGGAGATGTTGTTAGGTTCGTCATCTCAATAAAGCACCTACCTACGTTGCCTACAACATCAATGGCCATCAGTTGAACCTTAGGCTGACAACATGTCGAGTGAAATACTCCTTTAACGCTAACGTTTGTTAGACCTACTTGAAACGCCTCCACAATCTGGCGACCAACTTTAATCTGTGTAGGGTACTTAGCCTGTATATTATACAAGCCATAGCCGACATCCATGAACGATGCAGTGACAGAGTAGTTAAAGCGACTACAATCCATGTCCGGTCTTACCATTGAGCAGTCACCTTGTCTTTCAATTACATTACATACTGGTGCTTCTTCATCAAGATCCTGAAATAATTTATTAACATAAATTCAACATTTTTAACTCTGATATATTCTAACACTGACAGGTATTTGTTAAATGCTTTGAAAAAAATTTGATGCCAATACAACACAATATAAATTCAAGATTCTATTTATTCGTCATATTTTACAAAACACTACTGTACATAAAATTGTTTTCCTGAGGAAAGAAAAAGTATGACTACATAAAACAAAATAAAATACTGAAAACAATCTGGAAAGACTGAACCTAATCTTCAATGTCTAAATAATACATTGACATAACAATAGCACTATGCCCTAGTCTTCGCTTACACTATAGAGTACTATACTCGTTTACTGATTTTACTATTTTTATATTATATATTACTGCCTATAATAATAATAATAATAATAATAATAATAATAATAATAATAACTTTACTTAATGAAATGCAAACAATATCTATTTAAAATGTTCTCAGGCGCTGTACAAAATTAAAACATAACAAGAAATCACTACTCTATATATATTAATCCATATATAATCAACTAAAAGTTAAATAGACAAAAGCATCACAATTTGATTTAACACATCAAAACCTACAGTGAATTAGTGACAACATATCAAGATTTAAAGATATACACGCAACATGAAAGAACAATAAAACACTAACAAATGTTTTTGGATTTGGTAGAGCAAAACACAAGACAATATCACCAAACTGTTAAAAAAAATTACAATTTAAATCAAAAAGTTAATGGATCCATAGTATCACTATATATACTGTCTCTTATACACATCTAGATGTGTATAAGAGACAGTNNNNACATATATATAATATATATAATATATATATATACTATATATATTATATATAATAATATATAAATAATATAATATTATTATATATACAACTATGTATACATACATACATACATACATACATGTGTTCTGGTGTGTGTTATTTAGTATTGTTATAGCATTATAGATCAAGTTAAATGCACGTAATACGGGAATAAATGCAATTAAGATAAAATTATATCATTTTACATTCGTATAGGTGTACTTTTGCCCTACCTGACCTGGAAATGTACCGAATACTCAGTACATTTGAAAACAACTGCGAAAACAATCGCAAGTTGTTCTCGTTTGGGCTCGAACCCACGATCTCCAGATCACTAGCCTGACATCATACCTCTAGACCACCGAGCTTTTTTTTCGTTGTTTTTTTTTCAAATGTACTGAGTATTCGGTACATTTCCACGTCAGGTAGGACAAAATTACACCTATACATGTTTCTCCTGACGCAAATCCAGTTATTGTCTATTACTATTTTACATTCGCTTATGAAATATGTGATTTTCAAAATTGAAACTCAAATGACAAACAACATTTCATTTACATTGCACTGAGTTTCGAATTTTTCATGGTACGATTATGAATAGGAGTTTATTCTGAAAGTGACATGACATGCTTACCGGTAGCTATAATACAACATACTTAGCACAGTTTGGACTTACAATGAGCCCATTCACACACTTGTTATATATATAATCACGCTGCCGCAGGCAATCGGAGACTTTACCCACACTATCGGATATTTTTCTTTGGTCAACGAGACCAAATGACTTTAGCGAGTACAAAAAAATTCCCCCAAGTTAATATTTAAAAACTCAACAGACTCGGAAAGGTAATAATAATAATAATAATAATAATAATAATAATAATAATAATAATAATAATAATAATAAATACACCATTTTAATAATATTGTTATTTTACTTCTTTTTTTTAATTCCATTACGATTAATAAAGTTAAAACTATTATATTTTTTTCATTATCATTATTTGATTATTGTTATTATTATTATTATTATTATTAGTAGTAGTAGTAGTAGTAGTAGTAGTAGTAGTAGTAGTAGTAGTAGTAGTAGTAGTAGTAGTAGTAGTAGTAGTAGTAGTAGTAGTAGTAGTAGTAGTAGTAGTAGTAGTAGTAGTAGTAGTAGAGTACTATTAATTTCTAGGTTAAGCATAATTCATCATATTGCAACGCTTGTGAAGTCATGTAGAGATCAAAAGTTAATTCACTTTGCGTTGTTGGCAATCTTTCCTTGTCGAATGTTTACATTCTATGCAGGATATAAAGTCGAAAATGTTTTATAATTTGCAAGTATATCATATATATACTAAGTCAGAAGATGGCAAAAGCAAAAGTAAGCTTCAATCTTAATTAAACGTAATATTTAATTTTCACTTAACTCAATTTATCGCCAATTTCTATTAACGAAAGCACGTGACTGGGATAGGAAATAACTGGTAAGAAGTACCTACCTGAGGTGCAACAATAATGTCAAACACCATAAAGTTGAAAGTTTGGCCAGCAGTGTTAGTTTGCACTGTAAGTGTGACTGTCGATGTGGTACCAAAGGCTGCATTCTCAGGAGCCAATAGTTTTATATAGCCATCTGCTGATTCATTGACGTGTAGGTTCACTCTAAAGTTAAAAATATAAAACAAGCATACAACTGTAAGACATACAAACGAAAACAAAATTGCATTTTGGACAAATAGGGCCTATAGCTTGGAAGATAAAATTACTTAGCGACTGTGGTGGTAAGGAGTTAGAGGTGGTGTTGATGATGTTTCGGAGAATAAGAATGAAGAGACACAGAGACGACGAAGATTTTCATAATTGTGATTGTAAGATGAATACCAATTAAATTATTGTTATTATTTACATTATCACTACTATTATCTTAGAATTACTATCACTATCATCGTCATGATTTATTTTTGTAGTTTGTAAAATAGAAGTACCTGTCAGGAGTAACCATTTGAACAAATCCCTTTTCGTCTGTGGCCTTTATTCTAAACAATGCTGGTTTACCGATGTTAAACACTGTGAACTTAACATGACTCGTCCCACCAGGTGCTAATATGCTGTTCTTAGTACTGGCATAGGCAATGATCTCTGTGGTTGACGGCTCAACAACACTGTTTAGTAGTCGATGTATCACATTGCCATTACCGTCTCTACCAACCAAACGTACTAAGAATGGAATGTCTGGAGGAACAGCCTCCGCCGTATACTGTGAGATCGGACTTATTTTCTGTAATGTTGTACTGGTTAGAATCTTGTCTGTGATGTCGACTAGATCCATTTGCTCCATTCTAGCTATATCTTGACCAATGGCACCAAATATTTTCATCATAATATGAGCCGGCTTGCCTTAAATTAAAAAAATACAAAGAAAGTATAATTACCTGAAAATAATAAACAAAGAAATTTGAATCATAAATGAAACTGAAAAATTCATCTTGATATAATATGATTATGACATGGCGTGATATGACATAACATGGAATGTATGATAGGATATGATAACAATTGTGATATATGATATTATCATATCATAATTATTATGATATGATAATGATATAATACGATCGTATGATATGATATATAATATGAAATGATATTATTTGATATGTTATATCATAATGTAACCATTTGCACACACAGTATTGCCTTAGTGTGAACAGAAGTCTTCATGTGCTTGCCTACCTTTAAGTGGTCTGCCGCTAATCTCCTTGTGTCCTGGGTGTGGTCCGTTAGTCTCACTTTTACCAAATGTGTGTATAAAATCGAGTGTACTAAGGCCGTACACGGACACGCTGTACGACATAAATGAATCCACCCTTATTTTCCACATACCGGGTTCCAGATTGACCATCTTGACCACACGTAGGCTAGGCAATTTGGCTGTGAATTTAATGTCACCAGCGTTTTTTATTGGACGGATTTTACCTAAAAGACATGACATTAGGACAATTTATTTGAAGAAAATGAACACTGGGTATAGTGGAGCATCATTATTATTATGTCAAATACTACTTATACAGTGACCGAATATAAGTGGTGGTGGTATTAGGACAGTATTAGTAATAATAGTCTTTCTTGCAGGAACTTGGAAAGTCATCCCCAATATCTTCTAACAATTGTTCTGGTAATTTCACTCATTTTTATATCTTATTACATTTACTTTTTGGAGACATTGAATAAAATCGAAATTAGATTATATCGGAAGCACCAGCAGCAGCCTACTCTGCATATTACATACCCTTCGGGTCCACCATTTGCATCTTTGTAATGAAGCCGTTGATCTCTACAGTTACCTCCATCAACGTAAGGTCAATAGGAAATATATGCTCTCGACCATTATGAGGTGTTGCTGGTATATCATATGCTTTGAATAAAGAAACCTGTATTTTGCAAATTGAATAAATGTTCAATATTGTGATATAATGTATATTTAATAAGCTGATTAAAACCTACATATTTATTTTCAATTTCAATTTATTCATAAAACCTCCAGTAAGGAGTAACATAGACGATCGAAACAATAAAATTACCTTAAAAACAAATGGCAAACGGCATAGCAGACAGACATCATCAGAAAAGTATATAAATGAATTGATTTTCATTTAGGCCTTATTATAAGTCAATCCTGTCTCTTATACACATCTTATATATATATATATATATATTTCAATTTTTAAATTTCAATTTATTTCAGAAAACCTCGGAGAAGGAGAGATAAAATGCATTCAAAACATTACAAAATCAAACAGACACATCAAAAAACAAATTGCATAGAATACAAATTAAACGATCAATTATATAAAAAATTTCCATAAGATAGTGGAAAAAATAAAAGTTGTGATACAAGGTGTCTGCCGTTACGTTCTAAAAACGGATGCTTCTGAAAAATTGTCTTAACACTATCGGATAATCCACCTTCATTAAAATTGTACTTATCACATTTCAGTTTTTTGTGGATATTCAATTTCGTTTTACATAAATTTACTACAGATTTCTAATAAATTATTATTTTACAAATATAATAAAACCTACATAATGCAGTTACTTGACCAATGATTATTTTACCTTGGATAATTGAACCGTGCTCTCAATAATCTGTGTTCCTTCCAACACATCTTTTTTGGTGAGATCAAGAGCTTGGCCTCCAGTGGAAAAAGCAATGTCAGAATACAGTTTGTTTCCAATCAAAGCCCTCTTGGATCGATTTGTACTTCGACGTCCACGCACAGAATGCCAACAGTTTCCAGACACAAAGAAGCTAACCTGATGATTGAGATTGCCTCATTTTAGCAATAAAATTTGATGTTTCATATTTTCTATTCTATGTAGATATATACACCTTTTTCTTCAAACTTTTCAAACTAGTCTTCTGTGTGGATGACTGTGAACTAAACTTAGGCCTAAAAACCATGCAAATACCTGTATATCAGTTTTATCATTATGCATGTTACAAAAAAAGGATGATTGTATTGATTTTCAATTCACCTCAAGAAAAAGGTAGAAAAGTCTACAGATAATTATTCCTACTACCAGTTATAAAAAACCATCCAGATCCATACCTCGATCTTCTTGTGTTGCGCGAGTGCTACAACGGAATCTCTCATTACATCATCTTTAGCTGACGCATCGGTAAACACAAAACATGACGAATATGGTTCACTGTGTGTCAGTGCCAAACGCAACCCATTGAGTACCAGTTCTGGACAATCACCACCATCTTTAGTCTTAAGATTGTTTAGAGCCGCTTTAAACTTCTCGGCATCGTCTGTAACAGTCGCAGGCCCAAACACTATAATGACAAATGAAGAAAACAAAATCGCATCAGTATCAGTAGAATAAACATTAAAAAAAACAACCCCTCTGTTTTGTATTTTTTTAATTGCACTCTGGATTTAAATTAAGTAAATTTGATATATTAAATTATAAACATGTTCAAACTCCATCATATTACAGCCAGAAGGTTATGAAGTTATTAATAATTTCAAATCAAGTACTTTGAAATATAAAAAGTCAATGAATCCAGTAAAACGCACTGCTTCACATTGTATTAACCTTACGAAGGCAAGTATTCGTCCGATATTAAATTCCATAGCATAACATTATAATCATAAATCGATATTATTTATAACATTTTTAGGATATTTCTTAATTAATATTGATTATAAGGGAATTTTTAAAAAAACCTGGATCATGAAACGGCACCAATACAAAGTTAGCTGGATCGGTGTCAGTCCCCATTCTACTGTCGATGATGTGGTATGACCGGTTGATGGCAGCATCCATATCGTTGCGCATGCTGCCGCTAGTGTCCATCACGATACACAGCGTACTGCCTAGGCCCAGATTTAGAAATCGAGCAAACGATGATTCTCCAACTGACTCTCTCAGCTTTTGTAAGAAATTTACTGTGGCTTTCATCGCTAGTTGTGCTGCCTGTTTGTGGTAGTAAAAATGCGGAGACAAATGTTGGTTGCTAGTGTCTTTGTTGATTCCACCAGCTTCGTTTGCTGAATTGCTAGAGCCCCCGCCATGTGTACATTTTCCTGTAATGAAAATGACACAAATAAATGATATAGGTGAAAAATCTCCTAGTATACAGCCTTGAAAAAATGCACATAACAGGCCTAGTACTAGTCACCAGTACTAAATCAGACAATAACAACATATGTGTATGCGTTTTTATTAGGCATACATTTATAATAATTTTAAACGAAAATAATTTTTTTAGACTTTTTAATTTGAAAATAAAATAAAAATGAAACTTGAAATGTTGACAGCAAGAGATGATATTATATGTACCCGTAATGGTATCTGCTCTTGAATGCAAAATAGAAAGAGTGCAACCTGCGGTAACAACTACAATTTAAGGAATAAGAATTAAGACTATGAACAAAGTGAATGGTGTATCTAGTTTGAATAGCATAAAATACGGAGCTAACATTTTCTAGGTTTTGAAGTTTATAATGTGTTTGAGCTATGAACATTTTGAACCTCCTTACATATATACTAACCATACACGGGGACATCTGAACCTTAAAAAAGGCCAGAGTTTATTTTAAATTAAAACTTTTCTAACAGGGTAAAAAAACACATTTTAGTTGCCTAAAGTAAACAAACAACCAGATAAATTCAAGTATACATTTTCGTGAATAACTAACCTATTCCACGAGGTTTATTGATAGGTTTTCCGTCACTGTTAACTTGTCCGTCGCTGTAGCCGCTGGTTAGAATTTTATTTCTCTTAATGTAATTTAAAACGTTATTTTTACACGTTGGATTTGAAGAGCCTTTATTCCCACAATCAATACATGTAGGTAACGTAGGGTCAGCGATCTTTCCTAAGTTTCCTCCAGACACACCCAAGTCAAAGTTTAAATCGGTATGTCCGATTTCTATCCAATTCGAATGACTGTAGAAATCTTGCAGGGTGTGCAAGAGTTGACCACATTGGCTACGAGCTGCCTCAAAGTGACCATCATTAATAGAGGATACAATCGCTTGTCGAAGTGTCAGTAATCGTTGGTTGCCGGATATAAACTGTTCTGCGTCAAAGTGAGCAGATGCAAGATGCGATACAGTTAAATCCAAGTCGACATTAGCATTGGCTGTCAATAGTTCCTTTATTGCCTCTTCAAACTTTCTCGGTGATGCCTTGTTACCGTAATATGCTTTGAATAAATCAGTTGCACTTGTATATGGTGCACTAACCGTAAGCGGCTTAATAGGTTGCTTAACACGCGGGTGATTCAAGAAATAATCTGTTGCAACATCTAGAATAGCTCTTTCTGTAATTTCAACATGAGTAGATGTATATTTTGAAGAGAACTGTAACCATTCATTCGGTATAAACGCATCACTGTAGAATACATTAAACCAAAGCAAAGCCGCTACGTAAAACATTGTTAAATTGTTAAGCAGAGCTAATTCACTGAAATATAAACACAATATTATTATAATTATTATTCGTACCATTGGATAAATTGGCCACATACGTTCTTACGTAGCAGAACCAGTCAATAATTTGTAAAACATAAATAAAATAGATCTAAAATCTATGACCAATCTGAGTTGACTAGTAGTATTATTTTAACAGCTGATAGAAATTAGAGTGCTAATTATCAATGGTAAAATGATGAAATAGAAGAACATTTTTTAAAAGGTTGCGTCAATTAATATTCATTAATTAATGTTTTGTGTTTTAAATTTATTTAACTCGTTTTATATAACCACCTATAACATCAATGTACTGCATATATAACGTGTTTGCGTAATAAGGAAATTCGAATGAACACTAAGGGCATATCTAACGCGCCACATATGACGGCCGATTAAATGAAAGCTTTTTTTCTTAATAGGTAGTCTTCAACTCGTTAACTAATCACAAAATATTTCTAAATTTTTTCTTTTGGAAATATTCTATTGAATGACCCTATTTGCTCTAATCACAAAAAAATAACTAACATTATAATTATGTTTGGTTAGAC